GTATAATTATACAGAAATGTTATAGTCACATGCATTAAAACGTTCATTCTGCATCGATGATATTGTCGATCAAGAGCTTAAACTGTTAAAACAATTCCGGAATTTCGGACCGCAAGTTACTAGTCGTCGAACCGTTCGTTAAAAGTCGACGAAGTTCTATGAAAAGTCGTAAGCTACTTACAGAGTCTGGTCAAGTAAATTATCATAAAGTACGCGTCCATACAGGCGTGGCATAGTTCACGTAAAGTAGAGATTACACGGGGCTCGGGACGCGGCATAAGTGCTCACCAAGTGTAGGTAGAAAATAAGTGCTCGCTTAAGGAGAATGTCTACCGCTAACACCACCTGACACCGCGGCCTTGCTCGTTCTGACATTATCAGTACTGTTCGACACCAGTCATTAACGTCGTAGCCTGATTCAATTTCATTGGATGACGAGGAGTAGGTATAGTTGTTCACGCGAAGAAAACAGTACAATAAGCTATAATTAAGATACAGAGATTAATGATACATAATAGTTCTGAGAGGATGAAAGTGATCTTATTGGATAATAATATATCTAGCCTCCAACTGGTTTTTAAATCAGGTGTATGAATAATTAAATATATGTCTATGTCATCTTCATCTTATGCACTCGATGAACTTGCGTTTTATGAACGATAATAACGTCGTTACTGATCGCACTGTAGGCGGGAGACAGATAAAATATTAATCGTGGGAAAGAAAAAAATTCGTTAATGGCCTGGATCGGTTAATTAATCGAAACTGTCGCTGGAGAAGCGAGGTTCCGATCAATTAATTTTTTCTTCCCACGACAACGCGCGGCGCCGCCCGGTGAATCGTACAGAGCGTTCCAAGAAACCTGAACTCAAATTGGTGCTTAAATCATTCCAGTTGTGGATAAATACATACCTCGTATCTCGTGTAATACCATACTAAGCTATTTATGAGCACTTTCATAATGCTCGGTGAATCATTTTAATTCGCAAGAACAACAGTGCATTGAATATTGATACGAGTTTTCGCAATTGTTGCTTCATTCGTCATATAGGTGAATGTTAGAAGATGCTCAATTGCTATTCGGTCGTGTACTACGAAGTGTCATTTTGAAATAAATTAACACTGGAGACTAATGGCATACGCGTCTTCTTTACAATTTTCCATCTGGTGTAAGAAACTTCATTAAACTTTGCGTCATCATAGCCTAATAAAGTCTCCAATTGCACATAATCGCTCCCTTCTATCTCGGTACGCCTCAAGATATCCGCGATTACAATACGCGAGCCGCACGCTCTACTTTCTAACGCTCGCAGAAAATAGGAAAATAAATCATGAAAACGGCTAGCGTGCGGAAAAATCGCGATATCATACGTAACGCAGTATACAGTGTGCTGAACAAAGAACTGAATTTCGCGGTTACATCCATTGTTTGTAAAATATGAGAGCAGGATGTAGCACAGATTTATCACAGAAACGGACACACAATGTTCGCGCGCTAAAACCGTCGATACGTTACCCTTTCCGAAGCGCATAGCGATCTCTCGTACGCAATTGCGAGATGGTTATCGGGCCAGGCATAAGGACACGTAATCGCTTGCGTAAGGGGTGCCCGATCGCTAGTGCTTACTTACAATGGGCCGGGGTATTCGATCGCGTTCCATCGCGCTTGTTGTTCTCGCGACCGGTAACACGTGCGTCCCGCGGGCCGCGGCGCGTACGGTTTCGCGGTTAAAACCATTAGATCCGTGTCAGACCGGCCTCCGGATGCAAACCGGAGGCCTTCCAAGATACCAACCGAGGCTATTTCGTGGTTAATTCCATTACACGCTTACGAGCCCGCGTATATGAACAAAGCCTGCGAAACATCGAATCTCCCTCTGTCACTGGGCATTGCGCAGGCACTTCATCGCGTTTTTATCGACTGCGGGGACCGCGCTGCGCCATCACGTTCCGTCGAACTTTTTTTATTTCCTTTTGGAACTTTGCGATTGATCCGAATTTTTGGCAATCACTAGTCTGCGAATGAGAGTTTCGTAGGACTGTTTGAAACGTTAAATGATTGGAATCCGAATAGTTATTTAAGATTAAACCATCTCACTTATATTATTTTGTTAGATAGATTAAAGCCTCTCAATTATATCTATGCAATTGTTACTATACTTTTTTATATATCTCTTCTTTACATGTCTACACTAACATTAAAATTGCCACTTTTTTAATAGATACTTATTAAACTAAATAACAAGGACCATGTGTTTGATGCTTTGTGTTGCCCTACAATCCTCCACTATCAGAATGAGGATGTATATACATACATTTCACGCTGCAGGGTAATGGGTTAAGTAGTTTAGGATTATAGGTTTAGTAATTAGTAAGGTGAATAAGGGTGAACGTGTGTACTTTGATGGTAGGTAGGTAAGGTAATGGAGTTTGAGATATGGTATTTCCTTAATGTGGGTACAGAAAGTTGTGTGCGCAAGTAATCGATCTTGGATAACTATGTTTACTTAGATTGCTTATGAGGAGATATCCACATTTTTTGTTACGACGAGTAACGAAGTTTCATCGAACTGTCGCATTTCACCTGGTGAAAGCATAACTGAAAGATAAAATCTAAACGAATTCTATACTTAGGTGTACTCGTTATAGAACGAGTAATAACAGACATTCTTATGTAATTAATAGACAATTATGTCTGAACAACCACAAATACGTTCTTAAGTTAGTGAGTGATTCTCATCAGCCAACCGTCAGTTGATGGCTGATTACGAAGATAATGCCGCGAAATTCAATTTATCCTTGTTAAAAAGGAAAATCAAGGGAAAAGAGAGAGAACATTTTCAGAAAATAGTGAAAGCAGCTTAAGTCTTACTCGTTCTCTTTACTCGAACCAACTAACCCCTCGAACTTTCCCTTTCCTTGAACATTCTCTCTCACGAGGAAACAGTTAGTCTTGGTTGTGAGAATTTCACGTAATGTCAACAACGCAACGGGGCCATATTTAAGTGGAAATCGTTCTTACAACTATAACAACTGTACAAACGAGCTAATTTCCTAATAGCATGGAACAAAAAATATTTTACCTATTCATGCCATACACAAAATAAAAGAACAATGACTTGGAGCAAAGCGAATCGAATTTCGATTTGTAAACTCATGTGATTTTTGGTTACCTTTCCGGCGAGGTATTTTCGTTTCTGGCACGTTGCTGAGACCTACGTGTCGCTGCGTTCAACGATCGCATTATGCAATCTCGTGCATTCCTCTCTGGTTCACCATAATCACTGATTAGTTTATCAAATCTTATATTAACAATTCCAGATAATAAACTACTAACTAAGATACTATATATGCCTATAATTTACAATGATTTATTCTTATAGCTAGTCAAATTAGGAATACATCTAGTATAGCGTATACTCGTTTGATCAAGACTCACGTACACGATGCGTTAAAATAATCATTAATCGAGTAAAAATCTTGGGTTTATGAGTTGTAACAACATGGTTTCTCTTTTCACGGCCGCTTTCTTCTAACACTCCACTTTTCTCTCAATTAATCGCGCAAAGTACACGCTGTTTTTTATCGCGCCCGTTGATCGGCTTCCCTTGACTTCACTTCCAATGCCGCAATCTCACTATAGCGGAAATTTTCCTTGAGAATTAATCCCTGGATTATAGATGAGAGCATTTTTTATCATCTTAAAAGATGCCCAAACAAATTATAAGAATTTTTCAAGTTAGGCTTTATACTTCTCTTTTGGAAAGTCCTTGAAAGGACCGTTTTATTTAAATGTTTGCGTAAGAATGTACCCTTAATCCCGGTTCTATTGCAAAAGATTTACGCCATGATTCATATGTACCTTGCAAACCGCTTTGCCCTCTCAGAGTTTCGTCGACGTTCTACTAGCGAAAATCAGTGTTTGCTGAGTAGCCCAAATTGGATGAGTCCACTCCACTCAGCCTAGATGAAACGAGATTGGGTCACGACGAAACTTGCGCTCCCTTGCGCTATACTTGCTCTCTATTTTGCGCTTTCCTCGTACCGTAATGATGAAAATCGACTGCACGTATTTCATAATTTTCCATCGTGCCCTGTATGTATTTCGTTTTAAACTCGTTTAACTCTGTAATCACAGAAGAAACTGCTGAAGTCATGAAGAATCTAATTAGTTGAGCTTAACGATGTGAATAATTTTAATACTCCAACAATCCTTCAACAGATTTAATACGTTTCCTTATGCTTTTATATAATATTACATATTTTATTTCGTGCTCATGTTTGCATCATAAAAATCATAAATCGTCGAATTAAATGAGCTTATTCGTGAATAATCGCGACACGGATTAAAGTTGAAAAAATTTGAAGGATACTCGTTCGAGCCGTGTTTCCGAGTTGGCTCGGCACGTTTCGAGCTAGAATTTCCGCGACGCGAGCGAAGCAGTCGGCCAACGAAAAGAAGCACCGAAGAGGTCGACGAGCTGCAAATAAACACGCGGCCCGGAACATATACTCGCTTACAACCGGATTACGTAAGCGTTGCGGCGTGCAGTCGTAATACGGCACGCACGGGAATGCGTGCACCTATATTCGCGTCCGTTCCTCCTCCGTTCGTGAAACCAAGCCATCGTGCGCGAAAATCGATTACGTAATCGCCTGACGCCTGATCAGCTGTTCCTTTATTCTACATAATCCGTCTGTTGCAATCTTTCATCCAGTGCGCTATATTATTGATTAAAAAACGGACAATTTTAAAAACCATTTTTGTTGAGTTGCATGGTACACATGCCTGTACGTAAACCATTCAAAATCTTTAATTCAAACTTGTTAAATAGAGAATTAATTGAGAATTAAAAGTTAAATTTCACTTCTCAAGTAGAAGAAATCTCACTTAACAATTAAATTCCAATTCATAATGAGAAATCTCAATTATCGATTAAATTTTGATTAATCAAATCTGAGGTAAAAATTAAACGTTAATCGTTAATTGATGTTCAACCTAATTAAAAGTGTAATCGATTATTTGGAACCCTGGAGAATAATAATAACAATTACCCACAATATTTTATTACGTCGATTTTCCGAACTGCAAACGAAACTACATGACGTTTCTGAAAGATTAACAGTTTTATAACCCGAGAAAAAGAAACGTCACGTCGATGATAATAAAATGAATACAAGACATTTCTTTGCTTAACTCCTCCAAGCGATAAAACGACTAGTAGATAAATGATCGAAAACAGTGATCTTTGTATCCACACGTGTGAAGTCCAATCCGCCCCGGGAAACGAAAGAAACGATTATGCACTTACGTACCCGCGATTCGATGAATGTAAATTACAGTTCGTTTTAGTTTGACAAGCATCGAACAGTCTTCGCCACACTCAACTGTAATCGGTTAGCGCGAGGCTCGCGCAACTCGGCCAATGATTAATCGGCTGTCATTCGTTTTAATTATTTGTTCGCAGATTAATAAGCGATTTCGTATAGGCAGTATGCGTATGCTTTATGCCCATAAATCAACGGTTTTATGTGTATCGCGAATGGTTCGAAGTGCCCTTTTAAGTGAATAACTTAGGAATTTATTTAACAGCGTTTGATTCAGATTTTGCGGAAAACATTGTTAGAACTCATTGTTTTTCCTTTCATGTTTTGTGGAACGGTCAGATTACATTACTACCCAGTAGCTATTCTAATGGAAAATTATTTGTTTACGGTTCTATAATCATATCATAGTTCATGTACATTGTACTTTAATCCTCCAGAGAGAGTTCCGATGCATAAGCGAACGCACAATCACCAATTACCATATAAGAACGTTCGTGTGAAAATTCATTTTCTTGAACTCCTTTTTAAATCTATAATGAATGTTAATTTATGTGTCCTTTATACGTGACCGAAAACTGAATACTCGTTACGAATACAGTATTAAAAGACGAGATATGTAAACCTGAAGTTGAACCGTTTAACATGGAATTTTTAAGCTTGTTCCCCAAAGCTTCGTCAAAAGAGACATTTTTATAAATAGTAACAGAAGTTTTTTTAATATATCTTTGAAAACTAATTACTTGGAAAACGTGTTCGAAAAACAATCGATCAAAATGCGTGTTTTGAATGATTTTCCGGTCAGCTACGAGTGACAGAGAAAAAAGACGTTGACGACTTGATAACGTCGAATCGATTCGCTCTACACTCTACGCGCACGAATGGGAATTGTATAGTAATAATTATTGCACGTGGACAGTTGAAATAATAGCAAATTAAACGTTAATTATTACGTGGACGTGAATTTATTTTAAGTTGAGCACGACTGCTCCTCGCGAACATCCTTTATGTCTTTTCATCTAAAGTCATCGCATAATCTCTTGAACTCACAACACTACCATAATTGGCACATTAATATCTTTCAATAGGTCTTGGTAACAAGAAATGCTTGTAATTATCCAATGTTAAATCGGCACGACGAAATCGATGAACAACTTGACGTTAAAAAGCATTTGTGATTGACGATCGACAGCAACGCGATAAACAAATATCGGCGATGAAGAATATGAGACGACCACACGCGGTACTCCGTTCGTCGAACGACTATCGATAATTCGACGTATGCACGTACATACATATTACGTACTGAACGGTACACCTGCTGCGCGAGATTCGCGTATCGTCGAACAGTCGTACGATAACGGATTTATCTCTCGAAATTCTTCCCGCGCCTTCGAAGAATCGATATCGAAGATCAAAGCTAATTTCTAATTAGTTCTTCGCCGCGAGAGAACCATCCTCGAAAGGCGACGAGGAATAAGTAGGAAAACGTCGCAGACCGTACGAAGCCAATCCGCATCGAGTCCGGACGCATAATGAAGTTTCTGGTGAAATACTACGACTTCCTAACCGTCAAGTTTTCCACGGTGAGGCTTCAGCCCAAGTAGATGGAAGTACTCTGTAGAGCACACAGTTTTTTTGCTTGAAAATACTCAGAGAAACCGCCTCGCCGCGTTTCATTATTGAGCTTCGTTATTTGCTACAAATCTTGCTAGGCTTTGAGTATACCCGTAGGTAGATACGTGTTTGTTTGCACTGCACGTTGTAAATAGCATGGCTAGTAAATTATGGAAGACCATGTTAACGGCAAAGCCACAGATTATGCTTGTGGAAAAGTAGATTAGTTCACGAAGCAATAGAATCTGATTAAATCCAATTCTTTAATTCCATCGCCCTTTAACACACAGTGACTCCAGAAAGTATTCGGGCACCTTCCAGAACAGAATAACTTTCCTGGATCCACTGTAATAGTAGATTGGTCCCTGCATCTCGTTACCTCTTATTTTTCACGTTTTATTCCTGCTGTTAAATTGATTATTCTTGTTTCATTTGTAAGTTCCCTTCCTTAAGTATTTTATTAATTGATCCCCTGTTCGCGAGATAACCGATGTTTTCGACGATTTATCTTGCTCTTCCAAGGAAACCGAACCGTTTCAATACTCGAGAAAGCTTCCAAGGATACCTTCGCCGCGAGATACATGAATATGTTTCTCTCACGCGGCGTTGTTATCGCTAACTCCAATACAACATTGGCTCGAAGAAGGAAACGATGCAACACGGAGCCACAAAGATGGAGGGTGAGATAGCGCGAATCTTATTAGGGAAACTGACGGATGGGGGCTGACGTTATCAATAATTAGCCACGTAGGAAGTGCCGCACGATAACGAGACGTTCATAACACGAGGGAAGACCTTTCCCGATATCCCTATGAAAGAATGGCTTTATTGTCGCATGAATAGTTCGTGTTTCCACATTATCGCCGTCAATTATCACGCCACGGTTCTACCGTTAAGATTATCCTGGCCAAAATTAAAATAGTAACACATGCTTGAAATTTTGCAAATAAATAGTTATTATAATGTTAAGTATATATCAGAGAATACAGTATATTTAGAACACGTATAACTTTTTGCAGAGATTGTATAGCCAGAACAACTTCAAACTACCCTATCATTTACTAACCATAAGTGGTCGATTTGGAACACGGTGTAAAAAGAAAGAGGACGTTACTAGAATCGGAAGAATTCACATGCAGTGTCATCACACTTTTATAAAATCTTACACGTGTTTATGATAAAAGTCGTGAGAAACGTTTATACTTGATTATTGTTTAATTGCTGATAACACTTGAAATAAATGCTTTTGTAAAATTTGTTTTGATTCGTGTAAGTGTAAGGTATTGCCGAAGGAAGCTAGATAATTTGTACATCTAAAATTCAACGTCTCATTATTTTACATTTATTAAAGATACATATTACGATAGTTCTACACGGGTATTTAAATATGAAATTCATACGCTTACATTTCGTAGATTTTCTTTTTCAGATTTAATATTCAATAACGCGACAGAAATTGCAAAGCTCGTCCATGCTGTGAAAGCGTTAATAGCGTAATTCATGTTAATTACCTGGTCTTACCGGCTACGCGACAGTCACAATAACAATTTTCACCGATTCAACGTGACGTTAGTTTTCCAATTCAATCTCCAGCTACAGCAACGAACGTTTATTCCATCTCCGCTTAATCAGAATTGTTACACGCTCGGCCCCTTTCACCGACCGTGAACCATGTCGTCGGGAACGAGTATTATAAACACGATTTTTATTAATTTTTACGAGCCGTAAAACGGCAACGAGTCGAATGAGAAGCGAGGAAGAAGGGAGAAAGGAAATTCGCGGTGAACCGTGGCCGTGGCGTTTTAATCGGTCGATTGCCGGGATGACTTGCGAGAAGACGCGATTACTCGCCGAGGATCTATCGTTAATCGACTGTCAATTTGCAAATAAACGGCCTGCGATTGGTAAAAACCCCTCGAGCCGCACCTCGTTAAGCTTTTCGTTTCACGACTAACTTTTACGAACGAGAAGACCTTCCTCGTTATAGCGAATCATCCGATACGTGCCTCAGATAAGCCGTTTGCATTGGACTCGACGAATTGTTCAATGAAATAATTGTTGTCGCATGAATTGACTCGTGGCTGATTTCAATCGGTACTGCGAGACATACTGTTAAATACTGTACGATTAAACCACCAACACATACATACATCTGTACCTGCCCATTACATGTTAAAAACGCGTGATCGAAAAATGACAGAGAAGAAAGTGGGATACCTTTCTCTTTCTAGCTGAAAATGATTTGTTTGTGGCACAAGGGACGCTGGGTTGTGATCACTGCGTTTCACTGACTCCCCCCCCTCATTGCCTTTTTCTGTGATGTTCCTCATCTTTTTTTCATTCCATTCATTATTATATCGAGAACATTGAACTGCATGTTGAATTTGAAGTCAGTAATCGGAGAAAATTAAATATCTCGATACGAAGAACAAAAACGGAGAAGCTGTCGTTCGTCGTTAAATTAAAGAGTGAGGTCTGTCGTAGTCGGTTCCGCTCGTATTCTCCGTCAATTTGTTTCGCGGTGGAAGCTTTATCGAGACAGCTATTATTCTTCGGTGGCAGAGGCACAAAGAGACGGCGGGAAACGACAAAGACCCAATGAACTTTATCAACGTTGCACGTTGCCGGAGTGCAGTGACACCGTCGATGCAATTTGTCAGTCGTTGCACTGCCACCGTCTCTCCTCTATGAAAATTATCCAGCTGGAACGTGGCCAATAAAATCGGCCCCGGGTAAAAATTTCGCGACCACCGGAACGAACATCAAATGCGTCACGAAACGGATTAATCCCTCGTTTCTCCTTTTGTTCTTGCTCAATAGTTAAGCGTTTGACTAATTGATTGACTGCCGAAATCTAACACAATCTTTTAGCGTTTATGCATTTTATAAAAGTATCACTAGAATTATGCTATTTGAATGACGAATTTGAAATGTTTTTTCAATTTATATTGTACAATACGATGCTAAACTTTTCTATTGCTTTATTCTTCCTTTATATTGAAATCGATACTGTACATCTGTTCCTTTTTCTTCATGATCAGTAAAGTGACAATCATATTATTTCTGTTTCAGGTGAGTAGGCGCTCCAAAGAACGTGCATCTTTGTATCAAGAGACGGGGAGGGTGAGTTAACTTGAGTTGAAATTATAGTCACATTACGCGGAAGCTAGTTAGCGAATACTTTCGAACATAAAATTCATTTTCAAATAGTTGAGTAAGCAATAAGTTTTTCTTCTATCGAAAACTTTCTTGAAATCATGTCAAAACCTACACAACCCCTGTAATTCTTAAGGATGTATTGGCTATACAGTCAATCCCAAAAGTTTATGCACATTTTTTAAAAAGAAATCAGACGTCGGAAGAACATTGCTAATAATAAATATATAATAAATATAAAAATAAATATAAAATATATAAAATAATAATTTTTTCGTCAGCGTCAATACTTAATTAGATATTTCCTTCTATACTTTTTAGCACGTAGCTATTTATTATTAGCATTGTTCTTCGGACGTCTGATTTCTTTTTAATTATAGGAAATGCGTTTTTTTAAGGTACATAAACTTTTGGGATTGACTGTATAGCCAATATATCCTTAATTCTTCGACTACGGACACGATTTCCGGTGTGGAAATATTTCCATTGCATACAAGAAATAAAATATTCTGTAGTCAAGCGACTTAATTTGAAACATGAAAAGAAAGCTCGTTTAATTTAATTCCTAGAAAATGTATCTGTTAAACGTGAATTGTTTCCCGATTGACTTGTTGATTTTTAACAGTGCAGAAGTGCACCACGGGAGCGATCGCCTGATCGACCCCCTGAATATTGAAAGCATCACGCGTAACCTGTCGCGATTGATCGCGTCTCGTGTTTATGGCGGTCACGTAATTTCGTTGCATCGCGTCGCGTCGCTCGTTTGCTTGGGAAGGAGGAACGAGTAGTCGCGGTAACGAAGACGAATCAATTATGTAAGCAACTGGGTCAGAAAAGTTCACGGCCAATTTCGTCCGTGGGATTCTATACAGAGAAGGGCGGCCATGATCGAGTACGGTAACTGGATCCTTGACAGACGCTCTCTTCGTTTACCTGAACCAATTCTTAGAATCTGTTCTTCTTCGAACGATAGACTTTTAATTGGCATTCTGCTTTTCATGCGTTCCGTATTCGTTCGTGACACTGCATAGATGGCATTTTTATAAATAAAAATTGAATTAAGAGAAAGAATGTTTGTATAATAGTCCGTAATATATTTAATGACAAAAATTGCGATCGACTCTTTACTTCCATGTGAAGGTTTCTTATAACTTTATAAAACACAATAATTCGTACAGAAATGAAAGGAGATTCAAGTTACAAATTATCAACACGAAACTTTCATCAGTAATTAATTTGGAAGTACATGTTGGGAAGTGAATTCTGTGCTTGTGCTGTTGAGTAAATAGAAAGGTTCTGATTTATTTGAAGAAAAGTTATTATCAATTACAACACTCGACTGCTTCTTATCGAGATTCGATGTCTCATCACATATAAATCACACACGTTTCACTTATCGCATCTCAATGACTTAATAGCACAGGATATACCGACACCTTAAGTTAATTGCAATACAACATTATTCTCCAATAAACATTCTCTGTTGAAAATCGACGACTTCATCAATGAATACCGCTTGGCTGGCATAAATCACGCCTTCGTTCAATAATCCACGTTCCTATCAATTGATCGCGGTAACGTGGAAATAATTAAGTCGCTTGCGATCCTAGCGGTAACATGAAATTCCAAGATTTCCCAACGGGCCACGTTTTTATCGCAGGGAACGATATTTCCTGTTTTTACAGCTTGCGATAAATTTCAGTATTCTCTTACATATCTCCGTTTCCCGGTGCATACTGACCAATCCTTTTGACTGTGCTTAAAATATTCGATAGATAAAGGCCACGTAAATAGATTCTAAACTAAAAACCAGACGTTTGTCATATTTTTCTTTGGCCCGCAGTCAAATTCGTGGTAACGGGCCAATCTCAGTTTGCATTAGAAATCATTTTACAATAAATAAAAATTGAATTAAAAGAAAGAATGTTTGTATAATAGTCCGTAATATATTTAATGACAAAAATTGCGATCGACTCTTTACTTCCATGTGAAGGTTTCTTATAACTTTATAAAACACAATAATTCGTACAGAAATGAAAGGAGATTCAAGTTACAAATTATCAACACGAAACTTTCATCAGTAATTAATTTGGAAGTACATGTTGGGAAGTGAATTCTGTGCTTGTGCTGTTGAGTAAATAGAAAGGTTCTGATTTATTTGAAGAAAAGTTATTATCAATTACAACACTCGACTGCTTCTTATCGAGATTCGATGTCTCATCACATATAAATCACACACGTTTCACTTATCGCATCTCAATGACTTAATAGCACAGGATATACCGACACCTTAAGTTAATTGCAATACAACATTATTCTCCAATAAACATTCTCTGTTGAAAATCGACGACTTCATCAATGAATACCGCTTGGCTGGCATAAATCACGCCTTCGTTCAATAATCCACGTTCCTATCAATTGATCGCGGTAACGTGGAAATAATTAAGTCGCTTGCGATCCTAGCGGTAACATGAAATTCCAAGATTTCCCAACGGGCCACGTTTTTATCGCAGGGAACGATATTTCCTGTTTTTACAGCTTGCGATAAATTTCAGTATTCTCTTACATATCTCCGTTTCCCGGTGCATACTGACCAATCCTTTTGACTGTGCTTAAAATATTCGATAGATAAAGGCCACGTAAATAGATTCTAAACTAAAAACCAGACGTTTGTCATATTTTTCTTTGGCCCGCAGTCAAATTCGTGGTAACGGGCCAATCTCAGTTTGCATTAGAAATCATTTTACAACACTCGCAACCTCGATGATTTCCGAGCCTAATTTGAGCAGACGTCTGGTAGAGATGTTCATCCAAATATTAAATTCCTAAATTAGCAAATTATATCTTATTCATCTATAATAATTATGTCACTCGACTATTCAACCTGTTACGTAATTTATTTAAGGTAATGGAGTCTAATATAAAGTTCGTGTCTATATTCTTAGACAATTTTTTGATGTAGGTAGCTTCTCCAAAATATCGATTATCTGCACAATCTACAGGATATGTGGTATGTATTGGTTCGGTGGCATACTTGATGAAAGAATTGACAACAGGATATACATCTGCTAAGAATCGTACCAAACAAGGTCTCATCAGTTTTCATGTCGATTGATATCATTTGTAAACAGCTGTCGTTCGGGTTTAGCATCGGTAGAGCCTGATGTTCGATGGGTCGTGTACAAAACGCGATAATGAATGCGTTCGATTATAGCACCGCCGCTGCAAACGTTTTCGCATTCCCCTGCATGTTCTCACACTCTATCGGAGTCTATCGGATGATAGTCGGAAGCGTTCACAATTCCACGATGTATCAAAGGCAACGACAGTCAAAGGATGTTGAAGATCGCATTTCTAAATGTTGTCGATGAGCGAAAGTATGTCAATTTGAAAGTAATCGCAAATCTATACCATCTACTGTAATTTTAACCATACAATACGTTCACGTACGATCCAATTGATTCAAGGAACGGGACTGGAATTATGTAAATAGTACAATATAATAATTACAGATAAAATCTTTTGGCAAAACGTTTTTCAAGGTACGCTGAATCTAGTAAAAGTTATACTTTGCAGAATGAAAAATATTCAAGAATTTCATACTATTCGACAATTTCACTATAATTACGTGTATCTACGTTAAATCACCGTTGATTTATTCCACAACTATGCGTTGCTTTCTACTCTAATTCCCTGCAGACCAGACCTGACGTGCTAACACCGAAAAACGCTCAATAAATCCGACAAAGTGAAACGTGAATGTGAATTAAATCCGATCGCGGCATTCAATGCACATATGCGTATGTATACGAATTTCTATTTTAAATCCCTGAAACTTAAGAGAACCTGGACATCTGTTCACCGTTCGCCCATTAATACGTCTATCGAAAACCACTTTCGTTTCTTGGATACGTCTACAGGAAAAGAATTTCAGTTTCACGTAGTGTCTGTTCACACTCGAAACGAAATTGCAATCAATCGTGCAAAAGGAAGGCGTGCCTCGCGTCGATTCGGGCGTTAATTATTCCCGGCGTCAACCTATTAATTAACACCTGGTAGTGTTGTGTCCTGTAACTTTCTCTAGCCAACGGTAGTTGATTGTTCGAGAGGCGCGCGAAACCTTTTCTCGGACTTCGATCGAAAACGGAACCGTCCGCTGAAATAGGTCGTTGCACACTCGTCCCGGGGATTAATTAGCGACGGTACAGGAAGGAACGCCGCCACCTAATTTGGCGAAGACGTTTTAACGAGCGAGACGTCGGTCGATGATACTGATGAATGGATTCGAAACGCAGTGATCATCGATCGTTGATGATTCGGGGCTTTGGGAGAATTTAGATATCTTGCTACGATGAGATATTTAATGATTTCAGAATCTAGTACATGTTGTACAGCATGATTAAATGTTTATTAAATTCCATTTATCTAAACAAAACTTCAACGATTTTTCAAATAAATTTCTATGAAAAATGGATAGAAGGATACTAATGCCAGCTACGTATATGCTTTAATTTATTTCCTGTAAATGGAATTATAATGCACTTCGGTATATAAAACCTTAAAATTATCTTATGAAACTTAGGATATCTGAAACGGAATTAAAAATGTTCTGACTATAAGTTAAGATAGTGGCACATGTTTGATACTCTATATTTTGAACGCGTATAATTTTTGGTGGAGATTTTATAACCAGGACTATCTTAAAGCCAATTCTCGATGAGTGATTTGGAAATTGGGCACCGCGATTTTTGGTATTTTCTAAACGACCTTTGGTCCACGTCATCGTTGGCCTAGATCAGAAATTACCACCGCGTCGTTAACAACGCGGCGAGGGTACCAGCCGTGTTGTTTCAAAGCTCGCACCACCGCGATAAATATCACGGTTTTCCAAAGGATGCGGTTGCAATTAGAAAAACCATTTTTGATGTTTTTAAACTTCATACTGCTTTGTTTCCTCGTTTCTCTTA